CCCCGGGGAGCCCCCAGCCTCACCCCCAGCCCCGGGAAGCGCCCTTCCTCCTGGCCACCCCTCGCAAGGGCACCCCCCCTTCTCCCCTCACTCCTAGAACGACATTGAGGGGCTGGAACGTGTCCAGAGAAGGGCAACGAAGCTGGGGAGGGGTCTGGAGCACAAGGCTGATGGGGAGCGGCTGAGGGAACTGGGGGAAAGCTGGGCAGACGAGGTGCTTAGGGACATGGTTTAGTGGTGGGATGGCAGAGTTAGGTTAACACTTGGACTTGATGATCTTAAAGGTCTTTTCCAAGCTAAACAATTCTATGATTCCTTGCTGGTGTCCCCCTACCTGCACCCCCTGTCCTCATTCCTCAGAAACCGCCCAGGGACCCCTGCCCGTGCCCCCTCTCCCCTCACAGCAGGTTCCTCTTTCCATCCCTCCTGCACCCCTGACAGACATCCCCACGTCCCCGTGTCCCCACCATGCCTGCCCAGCCTGGGTACTGTTCCCCAGGGCTCCCTGTGGCACCCAAGTCCAGCTCCCCAGGGACAGGGTGGACTGAAAGCCCAGCACATGTATTGGGGCTCATGCTCGTTGCACCCTGGTCCTTCCCTCACTTCTGGCCTGTCTTTTGACAGCTCAGGGCACTCAGCTGCTTCACGGCTGGGTTAAAAATACCCGGGGTGGCTTTCTGAGCTGCCACGTTTTCTTCCTAATGAGTTACATTGCACCGCTGGCCACCGGGTTACATCTGGCTTTTAGTGTTGTTTGTTTTTATATTGGGGCCAAGAAACCTGGAGGGCACTCCTAGGTACCTTCTGGCATTTGTATAAATCTCTGTAAAATAAATAAGTGCGGATGAAGCATTTGAGAATTTGGGGGGGGGGAAAGGGCTGGATGATTAAGCCGACTATTAACGTGTCAGCGGGAAGGAAGGATTGAATTTAAAAGATGAGGCTCACACTTAAATTCTCTCTGTATTATTTACACCTGTAATAAAATCTGGTTGAGCTGGTTGTGCCTTTAGCAAAAATATGTCATCTATTAATGAATTCTTTGTAAAGCACTTTGAAAATGTTTGTAAAGCCCCGGTAAAGCGACCTCTTACTGTGCGGGTATGGTGCGTGGCGTGTGCGAGGGCTCCTGAGCGTGCCTGTCGGGAGCAGCTATGCCCCCGTACGCACCTCAGGGCCTTCACTTCTCCCCAGTGTCTCCTGGCTGCATGTCTGGATTAAGACTAACAGACTAAGGCAGCGCTTAACAATAGTTCCTTTCTGGGCGTGAGACTGTAAATCACAGCAAAACCCACTCTATGAAGAGCCCTGTGCTCAGCCACGTCCAGATTCCCCTCTGCAGCTCTGTTGCCACTGGATTTTTTTCACCCCTGAGATGTGGGAAACGTTGTGTGTGAGCTGTACCGTGATGTCGTAGGGACTGACGGGCTTTAAGTGTGCTTTCCTCTAGCAAGATGGACTCCTTTTTGGGCGTGAGACTGTAAATCACAGCAAAACCCTCACTATGAAGAGCCCTGTGCTCAGCCACGTCCGGATTCCCCTCTGCAGCTCCATTGCCATTGGATTTTTTTCACCCCTGAGATGTGGGAAACATTGTGTGCGAGCTGTACCGTGATGTCGTAGGGACTGATGGGCTTTAAGTGTGCTTTCCTCTAGCAAGATGGATAGCGTTTTAATTGAGGTTTCACGAGCATAGATATTTACATAGCTCTCATCACCATTACTACTTTACAGCTAGCTCCAATAAACACTGCCTAGAACCTTACAAAATCCTTGCGAGGCAGACAAGTAATATTATCTTAACTTTTTAAACACAGAGGCAGACACTGCTACAGTCCCAAGGTCAGGCAAGGAGTCTACGACGGAGTCAGCAACTCAACCGTATCTTGCAAGGCCCGTATTTACTCCCAAGCGTTGCCATCCGTAACCAGCAGTGCCCAGCTGCTAATCTGGGCGGGTGATAAGGCTGTGAACGCACGCAGTGTGCTGCACATACCCGCTGAGCTTTTCCCAGCCCCACCGAGGTTACCACCTACATCAGCCAAGCGTGAGGAATGGGTGATGGGCTCTCTCCATGCATTCAAACACTCAAAAGGCAAGAGGTACAGAAGTTTTAGGGTGTTTTTTTTGGTCCAAATTGTGTAGGAAAGAAGACCAGAGGGAGGATCATGGTGACCTTAAAAACTATGCATCTTTGTCTTAGTATACGAAAACCCTTTTCGTTTGCGGTCTCCCGCTGCTGTTAGGCACCGAAGCAGAGTTTGCTGCTACCACAGCAGGACCTTTGCCTGATTGCCATGAAAAAAAAAAATCACCTACTGCATATTGAGCAGTTACACAGCAAACGCTTCTGCCCGTGGACCTGGCCCTTGGACCCAGTAAAGGGGCAGGGGGACATTTTAAAGCTACAGTGGACACAAGTATCTTTTTAGAAGAAGAACTCTCCCCCCCAAAAAACCCCTACCGCTATTGCCTTTTCCTTGAGAACACAAAATAAAGATCAGAAAGTGCTACACTGCTGTGTTTTCTTTGGAAAGTCTGTTAGATAACAGGAATTAGTTTTCAAAACAAGAGTGCTGGGAGAGGTGGTGGCAAATCATATGAGAGGTCGGAGTTGGAAAAAAAATTGCCCTGCTTTGAACCTTATGCATATATTAACAGTGATTAAATGCCACCATGATAAACATGTACATAACAGTTTCTTTAAACAGATCAAAGTAAAAAAACCTCTGTGATAGAGGGTTTATAGATTCTCAGATGCTGGGCAGTGTGAAACGGTGGCCTGAATCCAGCACAGCACAAGCCATGTTCCTTCCTCAATTATTGCCTGACTTAGGGCATTTATTTTTTTTTTTTTATAAATCTGATTACGATTTTGAGGTTGCCTTCATTAAAGGATCAGCAGCCACCCTGCTAATTATTATTTATTGTGGCTGCCAATAATTATATTTGGTATCCAGACTGAGTTATCTTCAGCTGCCAGCCACTGACTTTTGTTCTGTCTTTACCGGCCAAGTTGCGAAGTCATTACCGAGATTATCCCTGTAGGTAATGTCAGGCTGTGATTAAGTCACCCTTTGACCTTTCAGCAGTAAGCAAAATAGATTGAACTTCCTGAGTTTCTTACCGTAAGGCGTCTTTTCCAATTCTTTAACCAGTCTTTTGATTTTAAAGGAGCAAGATTTGACCCTGCTGTTCAAAAAGCACTTTCAACCCAAACCAGCCTTTACAGTCTTAATGGATATGTCTCAATTAGTAGCCTAAGCGCCCTTGATCCCTTCAGAGTCACCTAGGATAGGCAGACACTTGCAGAAGGCAACTCACAAAATAGGAACTACCTGAACATGCAATCCTGCTTATATCAGCCAGGACTGAT